ATTGTGAAATTGCGACAGAACAAAGTTCTCGAAAAAATATGTTTACAAATTTACACTATTTTAACAGTGAATGAACTCACACTCGTTGAAACTCATCCGCAACTCTGCCATGTTAGTCTGTTTACGGTAGGGGTCCCCAAACTTTTTATCCAGTCGACCCCTTTATAGAATATTTGCCTTCTTATCGACCCCCAGATTAAATATTTAACAAAAACATTAAATCATTTTTGTATTTCTGATGTTAAGCGATAAGGAGACCTGCATAACAACCCAACAAAAGAATTTATAGTTCTCATATCTTATAAAATCCACCCAATAACATTAACTGAAAAAAGTGATATTTTCCACTGATTTATAATCTTAAAAAATAATAGCAAAATTATGGATAGATAGAAATTTGCCTATAGTTCTTAAACCGTACGTGTCATAATACGTAAAATCCACAATTATTTTTGAAAACATAACATAAGTTATATTGGATGAAAAAAACCTCTTACTGTCATTTTGCGACTATTACTGAATACCTTAAAATTATGTTAACATATGTTTTAATTAAAATAGTTGATATTAGTGGGATGGATGTGTCTGAAGGCAAGCAGTAAGATATTGATATTTGGTTGAAAATTGGTAAGTTTTAGTCACAAATCCCCATGGTTTTCCAAGTTCAATCTGTTCCTTTGTTTTGTCAAAATTGTGTTCGTTTGGCTAAAACCAGCTTCAACCATGTATGAAGTTGGGAATGCAAGTAAGAAAGGTTCGGCTTCTGCTCTGAGCTTGGGATATTTAGTGGNTTTCAAAAAATCCTTATGGCAGCTGCTATTTCATTGTGAATGTGTCTCTTTAATCCGATCAATTCCGTTCGGTAGACTATCATATACAGCTTTCAGGTTAGGTACTTCTTTTATTGGTTTGTCATATGCATTTCGGACTTATTTGTATTTTAAGTCCCTCGTCAGTTCAAAAGTACAAACTATTTAAAAAATTTATATACACTTACACTTACTAAAAATTTTTTTTTTTTTTATGTACAATCAGTGGGGTGATAATTTCTCGCGTGTAGATTATATTTACTGACATAAAACTATTAAAAATATTGTTACACTTATACGTTACCTCAGGTTCTGTTTTTTTAAAACACCCCGGTGTATAACTGGTAACGTTGGAAAGAGTTTAAACAATACAGCCATTTAAAAACACTTCACAATTAAAAATTGAAGTGTTTTTAAATTAAAAATTCACAATTTTGTTTCAAAATTCAACAAAATTCACAAATTCACAATTTCACAATTGTGTTTTCACAATTAAAAATTGAAGTGTTTTTAAATGGCTGTATTGTTTAAACTCTTTCCAACGTTACCAGTTATACACCGGGGTGTTTTAAAAAAAAACAGAACCTGAGGTAACGTATAAGTGTAACAATATTTTTAATAGTCTTATGTCAGTAAATATAATCTACACGCGAGAAATTGTCACCCCACTGATTGTACATAAAAAAAAAAAAAATTTTTAGTAAGTGTATATAAATTTTTTAAATAGTTTGTACTTTTGAACTGACGAGGGACTTAAAATACAAATAAGTCCGAAATGCATATGACAAACCAATAAAAGAAGTACCTAACCTGAAAGCTGTATATGATAGTCTACCGAACGGAATTGATCGGATTAAAGAGACACATTCACAATTCTTGTTTTTTGTTCATAAACATATCTATTTCCTTCTGTAAATTAAAAAAACGTTTTAAACATTTTCCACGGCTTAGCCATCTAACATTGGTAAAATATATGATATCACTATATTCAGAAGATAATTTGCTAAGGAATTCTTTGAATTGCTGATGCTGAAGAGCATGTGAATGAATGTAATTTACTATCTTTATAACTACATTCATAACGCAATTCATGGATAATACACGAGCACATAAATTTTGTTGGTGTATCAAACAGTGAGTGATAAATATATCATTTGTTTTAATGCCCCTGTGATCTAGCTTATCCAAAAGTAATTTTACAGCTTCCTTGTTTTTACCTATCAAAGCAGGTGCTCCATCTGTTGCTAATCTGGAAAGAGCCTCAAAATTTAAGCCATTTTTGACTAAACATTTATCGATTGCTTAGAAAGCATTATCTCCTCTAGTTTTGTCTTTTAAATGTAAAAGATTTAACATTTCTTCTGTTACCTCAAATGAATCATTCACATTGTGAATAAAAATTACAAATTGAGATGTGTCTGAGATATCTGTATTTTCATCAAATGTCAAAGAATATACTTTGAATTGGTTAATTTTATCCCGCAAAGTTATTACTATTTCAGCTGAAATGTCATCAATGCAACAAGATATAGTTTGATGTAAAAGACTGATACTTGAAATAACTTGCTTTTATCGGGCAAAACATCTTTTACGACTGCTTCCATAAATCTTTAATCAGTTTACCATCAGAAAATGGTTTTATTTTCTTTGCAATCAACATGGCAATAGAGAATAGTGTTGAGGGTCAGACCAAATAAAATAAAATTAAACAACAAATTTAGAATTTCAGAACATTTATTTAAACAAAGAAATGCTCCATTTTTCCCTTTTTTGAAATTTTTTGAAGGAGGGTGTTCCCATTTCCTTTCCCTGGAGCCATTTCCTATCTCTCAGGAACACGAAAATGAATCACGGGGAACTTATAAAAAAATCAGCAATTGGCAAACACCGATAACGTCACGTGCGATATAAAAGAGGGGTGACGACAGAAGAGGGGGCTGTCATCACCTTCCGTGAATGCTGTCCAAAGAAACAGACGTCCACCTCGGGCACGTCCATCAGTAATCACCAACCTAGAGGTATGACAGCAAATATTGTAAACTCTCTCTCGGCGCGTTTCCCTCCACTTCCGCGTGTACACTTGAGATAATTTCAATGTAGATAGATTATCTAAGTTATGTCCAATAAATTCTTGTTTTGTTGTTAAATAGTGTTTTTAATTCATATGTCTTACCGACAACCTCTCTCATCTCCTCCACTCGACCTGACAAAAGAATCCTGACTTTTCGGGATAGAAAAGCATAGACATACCATCCACTGAGCAGTGGGCAGTTTTCACCAATTGTTGCTGATCAAAAGGAGATATGACTTCGTCCTACCTCAGAGGCTACCCGCAGTAGCTTACTTTGACAATGGTAGATGGTTGTTGTAAAAATGAACTAAATGTTATTTCTTGGGCTTTCAGATGTGATTTAAGTGTGGTTAACTTAAAACATTTTATTTCTTTACTATAATTTACATATTCAATGTGTTTTGTCTCATGATGCCTTTTAACATTATATTTCATAAATACAGTGATCGTCTCTCTGCAAATTAAACACGTTAATTTTGAGTTCTGAATTGTGAAAAAATAGTCTTTTTCCCAGCGATCATTGAATATCCTGTTTTTATCAACAACTTTTCTTTTCTTTGAATTCATCCTATGGGTTAAACTTTGCAATAATCTTAACAACATTAAAATAATGAAATGGACTGAGTTGATAACACATGTCTGTTTAATGTAGGCTAATCGGTCGGGTCAATTTGTTTTGAGGGGATACAGGTACTAGTTGAGATGTTTTTTGCCAGGCCGGCACCAACATCTGGGACAAAGTTTCACAAGTACCAAATATAGAACTGGTGTTTGTAGTCACATTTGCACATTATAACAATGACATGTGCAAATTTTCATTTTATTTAATTTTTTTAGTATACACAACGAGAAACAAAAGTTTTAATAGATATATAAAATCGCTTAGTAGGCCACACAATTTAACATGACAGGACACGTGTTGGCCAGGCCTCTTCTAAATCAATCATATTAGAACTCTGGAAGCTTTAGAAATATACAAGGCTGGCCTGATGGTAAGTGCAACAATTTAAAGGACAGTAGTACTGTATCATATGCCTGGAAATACTTGTATGAAAAACCTGGCAGTGCTGACACAAATTGACTTTTATTATTTGTTTTTAGGCTTGTTCCGAAAATAATTTGTGCATATATGTTGTCTTATGTATATTTTGAATTCATGCACTTATAATTTTTGTAAGAGTTATGTATTCCAAATTGTTTAAAAATATATTTTAAAACTTTCAGTTCTACACATTCCAATTTTGGAATTCCATTGGTTTATAAACCTGAAATAGATCTTGGTTAAGGTCGAAAGTGTTTGTTTGATTTCATTAAACATTTTATTTGGGTTACTGGATTTTAAAAGGTTTTTTGGTGTTTGTCAGTACTTCCAGTAAGTGAGTAAGAAGATATCTTTAATTTATCATCATTTCAAATTTTAATTTTGCACGTTTATATTTTTAATATTCAAAATTTAATTGGAAGAAGTCATTCATATAAAACAAAAATTTATTTATTATACTTTCACTGTTTGAATATGTTTATGAAACTTACAATTCTGAGAAATCTAAAAATTTACATCTACCATGTTTTTCAATGTTCTGAAGTATACATTTATATTTAAGTAAGAATGGTGAATTTATATCAGAGAAGATGGATGTTTGTTACTTTTTCCAGTTTATATCCTGTATGTTGTGTGGAATTTTCAACAATTACATAAAATATTAGTTTGTAAATTTTTAATACAATACTATAGTTGTTATTATTTGTCATCCTTGGAAAAAATAATTTCATAAATTAATAAAATTTGTTTTATAAGTATAATTAATATTATCATTGAATAAAAAGAACAAAGCTACTAATGCCTGAACAACTAAGTCCAAAAATTTTTATAATCCAGAATATCTGCTGTCATGGTATCAGATTAAAATATTCTATATGTAATTTTCAAAATTTTTGTTACTGAGTTGACCATCAACAAATTATCACATATATTGTTGTTAAATTCAGTTGTTTCATTGAGTGTGACTGAATTGTGAATAAACTATATTCAGTTGTTTCAAACTGATTTTAATATCAAAGTATCTCGATACTCTGGAATGTTACTGTTCAAATTGTGTTACTAACTTTGTGCTTCTGTATCACCTACTGAAAGGAACCATCAGAATATACAGTTTGAAATGCATATAAAGATAGTATAAGTAAATCTCTTTGATGATTAAAAAAAAACTGATGAGAAGCTCAGTGTGATTATTTTCTTAGAAGTACCCTTCATTTTTGAAGGTTGTAAAATTACATATTTTTAAACTGATTTTAACTATCCTTACAAAAAAATCCAGCAATGAGTTGCTTAGCTTTCCTGGCAATATTTGGTGGTGCTAATTTGTTGTCATATTTTATTAAAAAACATTTCATATTTTTAACTATTACAAAATGGCAAAAAGCTTAATTTTGAGGGTAGGGATGGATTTTATAAAAAATTGGAAATGCTAATAACGAGTAAAATCGTCATTAAGTCTGACCCTACTAGAGATACACGACTCCCTTTATCTCCCCACCCTCTTTACTCTTAATCACCAAAATTTTAATAGCATTAATTTCCTAATACACAAACCTTCTACAGAATTTCAGCATTATTTGACAAAAAGCACAGGCGTTATTAAGCTTCAAAGAAGGTGAACAAAATTGTGCCTTTCGCCCACCCACTAACATATCTATACATACAAAAAAATCCTCAAATGTTTTTTACACTTCTTGATGTTTGAAGGCCCCAAGTCCAAAAGTGCAAAAATCTTGTGGGGGTCATTTTTCAGCTCACCATACTGTTCCTCTGTTATATATAACAGCCTGAAAGTAGAAATATAATTAATTGAATTTTGGATAACTTGTATATCTAGTAATATTTAATTACCAGGTGTAGATCTATTAATGTAATAAAGCATAAAATTAAATTATGAATGCATATAATAATTATAAGTTTATTTAAATATTTGTAAAAAGTATGCAAAATAGCTGATACCTAAAATGATAAATCATCAGTGATACCTAAAATGATAAAGCACTACTATTAATAAAAATTTATTTTAATTCTAGAAATAAATTTTATCTTAATTTTTCAGATTTAAAGCAGTGGCACTTGTCGGAAATACTGTTTTGGCTGAAGCCTGGGATAAAACAAAAAAAGATGCAAAAAAGCATGCTGCTGAATTAGCTTTGAAGAAACTTGATGGACGAGATGAAACGAATAAAAACAATTCGGTAAGAAAATTTGTGGATTATAATTTCTAGACTGTATTCTTTGAATCTTTTTTTTAAATAAAAGAAATACTTCAGAATTATATTTAAGAGATTATTTTAGGGAACATGAAGTATTTTAACTTCTTAAATTTTTATTTAAGAAGAATATTAATTATGTTAAAGAATATTAGATAAAGAATTAAATTATAATTTATGAAAGAATTTATTTACTGTTCATTTTTTAGTCATACTTTTTTATTAGTACTTTAATCATATTTAAATTACTGTATTTGGGAAAATTTCTCTAACATCGGATTTTGAACTTCTTGTAATAGGATAATTGTTGCACCCAATAAGTTATTAGTTGAGAATGATTGTTTTATTAAATGAGTTTTGAAAAGATGAAAATTGTATTGTTTACAAAAGATATAACAATATAAATACTTTATATACATTACATATTTATTTATTGATATACAACTATTTGTACATTATAACATCTTAATTTATAGAGTGGGTGGAAAGCAACTAGGCATTGAGAAATTGCTATAATTTCTATATTTAAAGTGCAAGGATGATGATAAACTAAATGTTTGCCATAATAAATTTGGTTATATATTTTGCTACTATTAATAATAATATAATAATAATAAATTTATTGTATTTAAGATTTAACTTGTTACAAGGGGGAATAGGAGAATTTTATCTTTGTTAAATCAGTTACAATTTTTACAAATTACAAGTTACAACTATAATTGAATTACAATCACTCAAACACAAACATTTTAACAAAAACTATATAAATATTACCTATGAGGGCTGTTCGGAAAGTTTGCGGCCTCAAATAGAACAACAAACAAAATAATGTTAAAACTTTTTTTATTTTTCAATGTAGTCTCCTCTGTTAGCAATGCACTTATTCCAGCGATGTTCTAGCTTTTTTATGCCATTACAATAGGTCGATTTGTGAAGGTGTGCAAAATACTCGTTTACTTCAGAGATGACTTTGTCATTTGAGTGGAATCTCTTTCCAACCAAGAATTATTTTAAATTTGGAAAAAGGTGGAAGTCACTGGGGGCCAAATCAGGTGAGTATGGTGAATGTGGAACTAATTGGAAGCTAAGTTCGTTTATTTTTTGTTCAGTGATTCTGGCATTATCGTGGTGAAACAGAACCTTCTTCTTCAAGTGTGGCCTCTTCATTTCTTTCTTCAGTTTTTCCAAAAGTATACAGTAATAGACAGCATTGATGGTCTTTCCTCTTTCTAGGTAGTCAATAAAGATGATTCCTTTAGCATTCCCAAAAAACCGAGGCCATCACTTTCCCCGCTGATGGAACTGTTTTTGCCTTCTTTGGTGGTGGCGAACTGGGGTGTTCCATTGCTTCGACTGTTCTTTTGTTTCAGGAGTGTAGTAATGGATCCACGTTTTGTCAGTAGTCACAAACTGATGCAAGAAATCCCGTGGGTTTTTCTTGTAGAAGTCCAAACACTTTTTTGACATCAAAGTGCGAACACGTCTTTGCTCAGTGGTCAGCAGATGCGGCACCCAACTTGCTGAGACCGTCGTCATACCCAAATCTTCGGTTAGATGTGGTGCACTCGGTCGACAGAGATGCCTGTTGTCTCAGCTATCTCACACGTTTTCAAACGGCGATATGCTAACACCAAATCATAAACTTTGTCGATATTTTTTTCAGTGACAGCAGTTGATGGCTGTCCGCTGCGAGGGTCATGTTTCACACTCTCTCTGCCAGATTTAAAAAGGGCTGTCCATTTTTTCACAGTGGTTTACGAAGGAGCAGACTCTCCCAAAACTTCATCCATGTCAGCTTTGATTTGAGATGCGGTCAACCCTTTTTTCGTCAGGTATTTTATGACTGCACGAGTCTCCGTCTTCTCCATTTTTGACAAAGCACATGCACATTGACTATCTGCTAAGCTGTCGTGGCAAAACTTTACAACAAATCAAGCGGAAATTGGTATCGTATCTTTAGCAAGGATGGCTGAATTATTCCCGCCAAAAATTAAATTGATCGCAGCGCCGCATATAGGCAAGGCCGCAAACTTTTTGAACAGCCCTCGTATAAATAATAATTAATACTTTCTATAAATTTTTACCTTTTAGTACTATTTAATTCTTTAGGGACAATTTTAAAGAAATTATCTAAATAGTACAATTGAAATTTTGACAAGCTATTTGTAAGGCTTGCTGACTGTATGTAATTGTTGGGACAAGTTAGAGGTTGTGACACTTGTGTGTGGACAAGAAATGCTACAGAGACATGATTATCATGCTTTTTACTGTTTAATTAATTATTAAAGGTTTTCTTACAAAAGTTTCTAATTCTCTGTTGACACAATTCTCAAGGAGAGAGTCCAGTAAAGTCCCTAAGGTTCCATAGGATGTCTTCCTCAGTCTCTGTTGACGTCTGCAAGATCAACGGATGTAAATAAGATAAATTGTATAATGTTGTCTGCTGTGTTTTGCTAGAGGGAATGAGAAATGACACATCTATTAGGCATTATAGAACAAACTATAAGAAATTTAAAATATGATAAGAATTTTTTGTTTTGATTGCCAGATAAGAACATTTTCTTAGTAAATATATTTTGTTTCCTCAGCATGATCAAGTGCAATTGATAAGACACAAGGCAGTTTTTTACATTCTTTATTTATTCATTGGTTGATACACACCTTGTGTCTAATCAGTTGTACTTCATCGTGCTAAGGAAACAAAGTAAATAGGAAGACACTGTTTCAAATTTAATAAGTAAATATACTACCAAAGTGGCTAATTTGTATCTGGAATATGAATGGCAAATGAATTTGGTGTCATAAAAGGAAACGTTAATTGAAAAAATATTGAAAAACATTAAAAAATAAAAATATATATTTATATTACCTGAACACACTCCAACAACTTTAAAACAAAGCAAAATATTTAATAACTATAATGTTTTTGATCTTATTCAAGTAGAATGTACAATGGAATGCTATACATCATTTAAAAATGCCGATGTTCTAGAACACCCATTTTAAATTTTGTGATAGGACTATTAACCAATCATAAAAAGAACGGACAACTACAAACTAATTTAAAAATAATAACTCAAAAAATAAGAAGAAAAATAACATAATACAGTAAAATCAATACTTAAACCTAAATATATATAACTACAATAAATATAAAAATATAGAAAATAAAAGACACATTAGTTTTATTTCCTGAAGTATTTTGTAGGTTGCATGTATGAAAGTATAATTATTTCACACACCCACTATGAGATAATTTGCATTGATAGCTTTTGCCAAATATTAAATATTAGCATCCCCTGTTGCGGCCTTGCCCACTCTTATATACATATAGACTAGGGGTCCCCAAACTTTTTATCCAGTCGACCTCTTTATAGAATATTTGCCTTTTTATCGACCCCCAGATTAAATATTTAACAAAAACATTAAATCATTTTTGTATTTCTGATGTTAAGCGATAAGGAGACCTGCATAACAACCCAACAAAAGAATTTATAGTTCTCATATCTTATAAAATCCACCCAATAACATTAACTGAAAAAAGTGATATTTTCCACTGATTTATAATCTTAAAAAATAATAGCAAAATTATGGATAGATAGAAATTTGCCTATAGTTCTTAAACCGTACGTGTCATAATACGTAAAATCCACAATTATTTTTGAAAACATAACATAAGTTATATTGGATGAAAAAAACCTCTTACTGTCATTTTGCGACTATTACTGAATACCTTAAAATTATGTTAACATATGTTTTAATTAAAATAGTTGATATTAGTGGGATGGATGTGTCTGAAGACAAGCAGCAAGATATTGATATTCGGTTGAAAATTGGTAAG